CAACACAGAACGCTAACACAATGGGGCTCAGAGGCTGGCAGTTCTGACTGAAAGTACTGCCAGTCCTTCCCTCCCCTGTTTGTCTCTCTCGTTGGGATACACCACCTTCTGCCTCCCAGCAACACAAATCTTGTACAGCTGTGTTTTAAACTGAATGGGGCAATTGATTTGGCCAGAAACACTGGGGGCAGGGGGGAGTGCAGGAATTCTTTTTGCTGGATCATCTTCCCCATTGGGTTGGGTGCACAACACCCTGTGGGTTGTGCCAGGGCAGTGGAGGGAAAGGGGCAGCACAGAATCAGGGGGCTGTGGGATGTGGCCATCCAGAATCCAGTATTGGCACCAAGTACTTTAAAACACTACATCACAGCTTTACACATGGACATCTTGGCATCATCTCTACACAAATAATTAATATCCATAAGTTTAAATTTAAAAAATAGTGTTTATAATCCCCTAAGAAGAAAGTCATCTTTCCTAAATGACTGTAGAAAATTCATTCAAATATTAATAATCTGAATAAGAAAACAAGATTGCAGTTGGTTATTTCTGGAGTACAGGTAAAACAGGGCCCAGATTTTCTTTGTCACTTGTGAGAGCCCCCATCACACAACACAGTCAGCAGCTACCCAAACCAAAGCCCCTGCTTTGTAGAAAAACTAACAGTAATTGGTAGTGGTTCGAGGAACCTCCCAGTAACAGCCCAGCAGAATGTGAAAGGCAAATGAAAGACTAGTGCAAAGGAAGAGCGTTCTGTTGTGCTTTCAAGAGGTCCTTTCAACTCAGTAATAAGCTGAAATAAGTAGATTTTTGTCCCCTTTAATTTTGAAAAACCTAACGTGGGGCTTAAAATGACACTTTTGCAATTCTAATTTTGTTGTTTGGGTTGTGATTTCTTTTAAAACCTACTATTCACAAAACTATCTGCTTTTTTTCCCCCCACTGACTCACTCTCTTGGTTATATAAAATTACTGGTGCTTTTGTCATTCCTGTGCCCTGGTGGAGAACTAGCTCAGCAACATTTGTATACTCAAACAAAGCAAGTAAGACTTACTTTGTTCCGTGAAGTATTCCTTACGCCGAGAAAATAAAAGGAGAAATCCCAGCCCCACTGAAGTGAACAGAAACAAATCACACCTCAGATTCAGTAGCATTAAGATTTGACCTCAGCTGTTTTTTTTCCATAGTCAGAAGTGCCAGACTGAATCCATCTGGAGTGTCTCCCTTGGCATTCAGCTTGACTTGTGACATGATACATTGAACCGGGACTTGTGAAGATGAACTCTTAGTTCTAAAGTCTAAAATAATGAAAGTCAAGGTTATATACTTAACTGATCATCAAATAATGTGCCCTTGTTGCAACTTTAAAAGCAGTTCTGCAAAAGAGCTTCGCTAAATTAGATAACAACCCATGCTCCTAATTACATTTCTTGTTACAGTTAACAAGAAAAACACTTCCAACCTCTGAGCATGCAGGCTCACGCTGAGACATGAGGAACAAACAGATTAATTTCATTAGCACACATTGCCACGTCTAATAAAGCTATAACAGGCCAAATGCTCTAATTTACACTCCTGAAACTCAGCCTCCCTCCAGCCACACTGCTACACTTTCAGGATGCCAAGAAGGGAAATGGATCTGGCAATTGTCACTGGTTGGAAGCGCAAACAATTTTTCCCTTAACCACATCGGCTTTTCAGATTTACCGAGAATATAAAACCCTGAAAGCTTCCTGCAGTCATTAAAGAGATCTGACTCACAAAGGAGGAATCGCTCTGCTGAGTTGGGAGATGTCAGTTGACACAGTTACTAAACTGATTGCCAGAAGCTGGGAAGTTAGCTACTAGCCTGATTTTCTAAACATTTTTCCCTTATTTTCTGCTAATGGCTCGTGCTAGAAGGAAGTTGCTCAGGTTAGATGGCTCTTGAGACCTAGTATAGCAGTGTTTGTGGTTTTGGAATAGATGCACGCTTTTACTACTATCACTGGCCAGTATCAATTAGATCATCAGATGATAATTCATTGTTGTGGTGCCTGAATTGCTGTCTGTGGTGATACCTTAACATCAAGCATGCTTTAGCTCTTGAAAAGACGAATAGAATTTACAGGATACTGGTTAAAGTTAAAATTAAATGGCAATAGGAGTCTTAAAAGTACAAGAATATCACTGAGTGCTTGAAAAGAAGTTCAATTCTAACAAATAAAGAGAAATGACCCATTCAAGTATAGGAAGGGGTAAGAAACTTCCTTGAACAAATTTCCCGGTATAAGACGTTACACAAAATAACTAGCAGAGAATACTTTAAGAATAAACAATCAAGATTCCCTTCTCAGGAGATGAAGATGTGTAGCTGAGATCGCTAAAAGCTCCTTAGCCTGAGCCTCCTAACATGTATTGCTAACCAGAGCCAAGTCTGGGAAATCACAAACATATGACAATTTTCCTTCCTGCTGCTAGAAACTCTGCCTAATCTCCCAGCAAGTGGTCCCGTTTGGCTCACACTCAAAGGCTGAAAGCAATCCCAGTTTCCTATAGCTTAATATAATTTGTATGCCAATTCAGCAAGCAGAGGCATTACAAGAACCCTCCTGGCACAGTTACACCTTACCCGTGTCCAGGTATTTTCCTCAGACCGGGCAGTGCAGCACAGAGCATGGGCTGCTCCTGTGCTTTTCCCCAGGCTGGCCAGCCCCTCCACCCATGCCAGTGCTGGAAGTGAATTTTCACATTATATAGTGAGCTTTATTTTGTATGAACACACAGACCCAAGTGCTGAGCAGCAGGCACGAATCCCTCACATTACAAAGCAGCGAGGAACTCCATGAATTTCAGCCAACACTAGATCGAGCCACATGAGGTGAAGGAGTGGGTAATAAGCCGTTAGATTTACTTCAGTTTCTCCCATAGTTACTTTATGCCTTTTTAGACTTGCCTTAATTAAATTCATTCTTTAAACTTGTCTTAATTAAATTCTTTCTGGAACATAAATATCGCTCAGTTTCCACTGATCTGGAAAAGGCTCTTTTTAGGCCAGCAAGATGTTGTCCTTGAGGCATTTCCTAGAACTAGGATAGAAATCAGTGCTTATAGCTTATAAAGGTTGTTTTGTTATCATGCTCAGTGATTTTGCTCAATGAGAATCATACCACACTTCCATTGTGCCAATGTTTGTATTTTCAAGAAAAAAGGTTAGTAAATAATGGCCCCAGAGTATTATCTGACAAACCAGTGTTCTATTCAAAACAGGAGAACAACAGATGCTGCTTTCCTTATGCATCTAAATAATCACAAGGTACTGAGTGGGGCTGCTCTTTACAAGTACTCAACAAGACAATCTGTGAAAGTAAGTGCAACTATTTGTCATCACCACGTCTACCTTACACCATGATTTATGTTTAGATGCAAATCCTCTTTGCAGAAAGCAAATCTCCCAATGAAATCCCATCAAGAACCACTATAAGCCACTCAATTAACAGTTTCTTGTAGTGCTTGTGACACTGGCTGTAAAGTACATATATGAGGCAGGTAGAGCAACCAGAGTAAACAGCAGCAGGTTATGAAGGGATCTTGTGAAGAAAGAGCAAAGACCTGGGAATCGGGAGACCTGGACTATCTTCCAGGGGAGGCAGTAAAATTACTGTGTAACGAGGCAAGCCATCACACCTATAGGAAAAGTTAAGCCAGTCAGGTTGAAATAAGAAGCATTTAATGTCTTGAATTCAGTGAAGCCTGAATCAGTGACAGGAGCCCCGTGAAACAGTTGTGGAAATTAATCTAATAATTAACAATACAGGGAATCACTGAAAAAACAGGCAGGGGGGTTAGTGGCATTTGGATTATAGGAGAGCTGTTGTTTTTCTAATCCTAACCCACATTTGTACTTTCCTCTTTATCATGTCGACGTTTGCAAGCAATAAAAGGGCATTATGTGCTGGTCATTGCATCTGCTCTTGAGATAAATCTGTGTTAGCATTCCAAAGGGTCAAGGAACTCTTCCAGGGCAAACAAATTCTGGAGCACTGATGCCAGATGGTGTGTGTATATAAAGTGGAAAATGAGAAAAGCAATTTACTGTGTTCCTGTTCCAGGGAGAAGTATCACTCAGGAAGACAACAGAAGAGGTGAGAAACTACTGAGAAATTGAAGAGACAGTTTTCTTCTTCTCTATCTGTTGTGTTCTTTCTATCTGAAAAGTATAGGTACATAGAGGAATGGCAGTCCTTATTCAGGAAAAGTTATTCCAAAAAGTTAACAGGAATATTTGACTAAAGAATGAAGGGTTAAATTAGTAACATGTATAAAGAATTTTGCATTGATTTATGTAACAGGTTCTAGATTTATCTGTATAGCTGGCTAATATATAGTCTGTGTTTAGAGAAATTTTATTCATAAAGACAAAATGTTTTTATCTTGCATTTTTGACCAAACTCTACAAAAGAAGCAGAAAACAGTGGATCAGATTCTTAATTATAAATAAGCATATCTTCAACAAAGACAAGTAATCAGTGTAATTTATCCAGCTCAAGTGCTCACCACTACTAGCTCACTTGCAGCTGTATTTGTTGTGTAATTTTCAAGTGTGCAAAACAACTCTGCAAATTTTAAAACTCATCAATATTTTTGTCAAATCGAGTGAAGCAGAGAAATGTCTCTTGGAAGGGTTCAAAGATAATTCAGGTCAGTCTAAGAAATTTAAAGTAATTTTCTTAAACACTGAAAATTATAACAAGTTTTCATAAATAGCCTGAACTATGGATGGCCTTTATCACTTGCCACCACACCTCAGAATTAAGTAGCAAAAGTGTAAGTGTTCAGTTATAAGGAAAGAAGGAGAATGTGTGTCTTAATGTGTGTCTTAATATTTCTGTGTGCATCTTTGCTGAATGTATTTTACTTGATTAAATATGTAGTTTTTTAAAAGCAATCTTTATTTTCATGTTATGCCTTCTTCTAGAAAAAAGGTTACAAACAAAGTCTTCTCTCCATACAGGAAAAAGAACTGGACAATGCTCAGGTTTGCCATCACCCTCTTTGCTATCATAACGTCATCCACCTGCCAAAAATATGGATGCCTGGAAGGGGACACCCAAAAACCGAAGCCAAGTCCTGAGTCAGATATGCAGGAGTGCACTCTGTACTCTAAATGTAAGAGAGGTTTAATTTTTGCCAAATATAGTCGAGAAGTACAGCGTTGTACACACTAATTGTTTTGGCAGTTCCCCTAATTTCTCAAAAGTATATAAGATTCAGTATACATTGTATTTGAAAAGCTTCCTTCATTGGCATTTTGCTGCATGCAAACCAAGAGTAGGATTCTGGGTCTTAACAAAGTCAACTGCAAAACTCCATTGACTTCATTTCTTTTCTTCTAAAAATCTGATGCAGTTTGCCTCTCTTCTAACTCCACCTGCTTAAAATTGGTTAGAGCAAAGATGAATCTGGTTTATTGTGATTGAGTATAAAAATTAATTGTAGCAGACATGAAATGGGAAAGGTTGAAATCAAAATTCTATTGGGAGAAAAGTACAGTACTTATTACATTTTTTCAACTATTTGGTTTATGTTTGATAGTTTTCAAAGTGAATATCCCTTGGGATATAACGTCAGGCAGAACACTGGTAAAATTCTTGGGGTTCTCTGGGCACACCTTGACAAAGCACTGTTGGTGACAGTCCACCTCACCTAGCACACAGCTATTTCCAAACCCAAAAATGTTAGAGCTTGAGTACATCTCCTAGCTAGTACTAAGATTTTACCATATTATGGTCCAAACCAGATTAATCTCACATTTTGAGTCGTCCGAATACAGTATTAAAAAAAAAAAAAAAATCCTTATTTCAAAATCTTTGTTTTATTCCCAACAGCTTCGTGTTGCTATGCAGACTTCACAGAGCAGTTGGCTCACTCCCCAGTAATTAAAGTAAGCAACAGCTACTGGAACAGATGTGGGCAGCTCAGTAAATCGTAAGTGAGCTTTGAAGTTGTCTGTGTCCTGCTTCCATGTGTCTGTGCTGTGGCAGCCACACAGCTGCTGGTGGACACCAGGTTGCCCTTGAGATTATGTCACCCAGCCCAATTCTCATCATCCTGTGTCTACACCTTACTAAATCTGACTCTTCTTCTCCTCTCACTAAAGCCCATGAATACTTAATTTATACTCCTTATGCCATTTTGTCATGAAAAATTATGTTTTTTCAAGTTTGCTTTCAGCATAGAACGAGGCGTAGCCGTTGTAAACCCAGTAGGTAACAGCTACACCACATCTCTGTAGGTCTCCAGCACAACCATCACCCACCAGTGAGTGTGATCCCTAGTGAACAGGGACCAGGCTTCTTCCTTTGTTTAGAAAGAACATCAACTAGATTATTAAATCTCAGGGGAAAAAAAAAATCCACAAGAGTCCAGAAATGAAACTTCTGAATATTTAGAATAAAAATTCTTGTAGCCCAGTGGGTTTTGTAACCATGCAGAATGTCTCCATAATTAAGACTTTTAGTATCCCATTAGATGTTAAAGCTGTGAAACATGGCAAGTTATAGAAATAAAAGGATGAAAGTACAAAACAATTAAGCAAAACCAGATGTGCAAAAGTAACGGCTCTTGCCTGCCACTCCCAGGAGAGCAGCACAGTTTGTGATTTTAAGTAACTTCAGCTGGGCTGTGGGAAAATCTAAAGAAGAGCGAAACCATGAGGCTACAGCATAGACAATGTTTTGTGCCATAGCTTTAAACTACATTTTATTATTTCCCGGAATCATTCTTGCCAGGAAAACTCAAGGCCTCAAAAGTTTACAGAAAGCTCACACAAACAGGGCTGAAATATGCATGGAAACATTCGTGCACTCTGTAGCTGGCTGTGGGGATTGCACGGTCAGAGTCTGTGCACAGTGCCAAAGGAACGAGTTTGGAACTTAAATACTAACAGGGCCAGAGGATGCTTTTCTGTGTTTTTCTCCTAATTTGTAGGATTGCATCCACATCAAAGCAGGCCTAGAAAACTGAGGCTGCAGCCTTGATGCTCAGAAACGGGCTTATTTGTGGCTTTTCTCATCCACCACAGCTGTGAAGATTTCACAAAGAAAATCGAGTGCTTTTACCGGTGTTCTCCACATGCTGCTCGCTGGATCCACCCCAATGACACCGCTGCTATTCAGGCTGTTCCATTGTGTCAAAGCTTTTGTGATGACTGGTAGGTTCAGCTCCTCAATCCAAGTATTTTTATCTAGTTTTAATATGCCCATGATTCAGTGGTGTTGTACCACCTTTTCTCTTGTTCTGCTTCTCCATCTCTACTTTTTCCTCTGCTAAGCTACTACCCCTAAAATAATAATGACACAGGCTGTGAATGCAGGATGGAGGCACTAAACTGAGATTAGTGACTCAGGGACAGCACTGCCCTGCTTCAGTGAGGATGCAGTGCAGTGGCATCATGACAAAGGAGCTCCCACCACGTTGACAGGCACTAACAGCAGCCTAACACCCTTTGAAAAGTCCATGTCTGTGAGTTAGTGTTCATGCAGTTAGCATTTTCAATCTAAATACTTGATCACTCTATGATACATTTCTTTTGTATGCATAAAATGCACTACAAAATCAGCAAAGAAGCCACTTCCTGTGGGATTTCATGTAACGATTAATGCATGTAACAAATTATCTTCATTCCTTAATATTGTGCCTTTGACCTTAACTCTTCCATTCCATTATCACACTCTCTAAAATCTCTTCTAAAAGCCTGAGAGAGTAAATTGCAGCCAAGTAATGCTAAAATTATTAATGGCAATGGGCAGCATAATAGCATTTAATTTTGTTCCAAAATACAGCATCAGGGAATCACATTATTTTTTGAGCCCAAGGCACATGGTGGGACAACCCTTAGTCTTGGGGTAGGAGCATTATATTCCTGTAGGGTTCTGAGATTTTCCCAGTGATACACACACAGTATATATCCCTCTCTCCCTGAAATGCTGGATCTTAAATAACATCATCCTGTGACACATCAACCTCAGTCAGCCCCATATGAATGTTGTGCCCGGTCACTAGAGTAACTTGTCTGGAAGGGTAAATTGCTGTGAAGCATAGTGCAAACAGCACAGGCTCTGTTCACACTGTGGGATTCTAACTGCTAGCTTTCCATGAAAGTGATGGTCTGTGAATGTCTGGATCCCTTAGGCTGCTCTGAAAATCATGGGAAACTGTTACGATACTTCTAAAAATGTTATAAAAGAGATTTTCTTAAAAGTGCAGGGCACAGGGTAGTGCGAGGTAGGGTTCTCTTGCACTGCTCTCTGCTGTGCCTTCCTTAGTGCTTACACAACTTGAATATTATTGGCATGTGGATCCATTTCCATTCTCATATTCCCTCCAAGGGCAAAGTCATGTATGCAGTGCAGAATTTTGGTAGGATTTGGTTTTAAATATGCCTCCACTCCTTTGTGCCAGAGAAGGAAATGAAGCCTAGCTTGCATTTGTAATGGAAGATAGTGAGAAGGGCTGGTGTATCTCTTAGCTTCCCTAGAGTTTTCTCTAGTGATGAAATTTATTTCTGTGTCATGAAACTCCAGGTGCCTCAGGAACAGATTTGTCATATGCAGTCTTCTTTCCTAAGTTTTTGGTAATCTTTTAAACTGAATCCACATTATTGACCTCTTTGAAGATAAAGACTGAGACCTTGAATTTCTCTCAGTGCTCCTAGAGCTGAGTACCAAATATTACCAAATTTTGCATTTGGATATTAAAACACTGGAGTTGCCAGTGAGCTTTACCACAGATCTAACAGCAAAATTATAAAATATCAATATCTAAAACTAATGTATCCCAAAATAAGTAGCATAAAAAGTCATTGCCCAACTGCTATATTGAGTGAAAGAGTAAAGATGAAAGAAAATGTTTGCTTAAGTTTAGTTTGCACCTATGAAGTGGTTTAAGCCAGCTTGAGTATATGTGAGATTTATACCAAAGTGTATATTGTGGGTCAATATTACATTGCAAAATCCTCAGTGTCCCCTGGGCATTGCCAGAACCTGCAGGTATACAGGACTTTTAACTTCCATTGCTGGAAAGTATGGTGGGGTGATCAAGAGCTGCTGCACAGGAAAAATTGACCCTTTTCCAGTACAAGTCTCCTGACAGAGAGCAGGCTCCGCTCTGAACAAATACTGAACAATGATCTATTGCCCCTGTTGGCATCACAGATGCCTGGCCTGAATCAAAAATGTAGTGACGACCCACTACCCTGAACACTGCTCTGTGTGTGCCGGCCTAATGCCAGTGTCAAACCCATTCCTTCACCCTGCCAAAGGCCTGAGGCTAGAAAAGAGCCTGGACAGAATTCCCAGTCTTTCTGGTGATTTAAAGTAACATTTTTTCATGTTCTATTCACTGGAGTCCCTTTAGCATGCTGTAGCACTGCTGGTGATGTGACCTACTTTCTCTGCATACTGAGAGTGTGCCTGCTGCATACTCTGTGTCTTCGTGGCCAGAAATGTGCAGAGTATTCTGAATGAGCAGTGACTTAATTTAAAAGAAATTCATCTGAGTAGCTTGGGGCCTTCCTTTTCTTCCTATTGTCTTAGAATTTCTTGCTCCCACTAGTCCTAAAACTATTGCTTTTGAAAGAATCCAATGTGTAAGCCACTTTCTCATTCACCTGTGAAAGGGCCTTGTGCCCCCTAAAAGAGAAACAGCTCATTATAAAAAATACAGGAGAAAAAAAGCTTTGAAATAACAATATCCTGCCCATTGAGCATAAGGAATGTTCAGGAAGTATTTATGTTTCTCACAGGTTTTAATTAATATTTGAAGAAACAACTTGTGGGTTCCTGGGCAGCAGAAATCAGACTCTTCACAAGTCATGATTTTTCATAAACTTGGCTTCATAATTATTTCCATTGGGATAAAGAAAAACCCATAACAATAGAGTTATGCCTTGCCACCTGCTCCTAGAACAAACCACAGTCAGCCAATAATCGTAATTAGGAAACATTTCATCTCACAATTCAATAAATAATGGTGAATAAAAATATAAACACTTTAATAAGCATATTCTATTCAAGTTCCCGAGGAAACCAGATGCCTACCATGAATATTAATTTATCAAATTGCAGCCTCTATTTCCAGCAGAGCCCCTCTCTCTGACAGCAGATTAATGGATGAACACGTTTGAGAATATGGGTCTCCTGCCCCAGACCTGCTCAGGCCCTGATTACCCTCCATCTGTTACTGCTCTTTATCCCTTCAAAAAGCCCAAAAAACCAATGTGAAGGTTTCTGCAGATGTGCATGTTCTGACCTTTCTGCATCTGCAAATGTACTGCAATGTCTTGTTCTTTTAGTTCTATGACCACATGACAACCCACACATTTCATTTAAAAATGTAAGGCTGCAGCCCTCGTGATACCAAAACAGTTTTGGAAACATGGCCCTGAAAATGAAAAACTCCAAACAGAAAATATATCCAAAGGCATTAATTACAAATATCACACTGAATGATGCTCACTTTTTGGAAGCTGTGCCTTATGGTTTTGGCACTCTCAGTAACTGGGTGTGAATAGTCTGCCTAAAGCCAATGAGACTAAATTTAAGTAGATGTTAACTGATTTGCAGAAAAGGATCCTTAAGAAAGGTAAGAGCCAAAAAGTAGAACATAAAAAAGAAGTGGAAGGAAGGAAATTATGTAGGATAATAGTAAGCCATGAGATCTCTCATCGTGTAGACCAGCCAGTTGCACACTCTACTCATTCCAGGTCATTTATAGCCTTTTTTCCACATTACCACTTACAAGTAAAAAAGAACTTAAAATTTAAAGTTTTAGTCCTACACCCTACAATACTTATCTTTCCTCCATTACTACAAGTTTAACTGCTTTGAAAACATCATTTTGAGGCTGACAGCCTGTTAGTTTATATGATTTTGTTGTTTGTGGATTTTCCTTATTTTCAGTGCACATTCCTCACAGCAACCCCTCTGCCCAGGAAACATCAGTCTCCTCCCATATTAATTCACAAATACAAACTTTCCCCACGCCTCCCTCAAGTGACAGTTCACCCTTGGCATCCCTGTGCTCTGTCACAATGTTGAACATCAGCGTTGAACATCACTCCCACACAGTGTTTCCTCCACTGAGTGACATCAGATAACCAAGCAGAAAACACCCAGGCCACGAGCCCTTTGCTCAAATCTGTGAGTATAAAACGTGGTGAGCGAACTGTTTAGTTTCCACGGGGATTTAGGTCTTCCTGGCCAGCTTGGAGTTTACATACATGTCAGGCAAAGATAACGTGCACATTTCTTGAAGATCAGTTGCTAAGCTGCACTGTAATCACACCACATTACTAACAGAGCCCCCGGACACTTTTTGAGTTGAATGTGAGTCCACAGAAAAAGAGTGAGAGAAGTAACTGTGTCTTCCCCACTGATCTCCACGAAGGTACGAAGCCTGCAAAGATGACTCCATATGTGCTCGTAACTGGCTGACGGACTGGGAATGGGATGAAAGTGGAGAAAACCACTGTAAGAATAAATGTATTCCATACAGTGAGGTAAGAAAACTGCATCAACTGAAGCAGAAAATACGGCATTAGGAGTTCTTTTTTTTTTTCCCCTGAATATATGGGAGTAAAATGCCATCAATGAATTACCTTTACTTCAGCAGTTCCAAGCCATACCTACATCAGCCTTTTTAAATATAGACATTTTCAAACATTTATATTTATGTACATCGCTTACTCTAAGTATGTATACATTTAATTAATCACTATTCATTCCACTTGTGAAACAAAAGTTCAAGCAGCACTGATACTTTAACCACAGTGGGATTTAGAAAGTAAAAGATAATGAACATTGCTTGTACAATGGAGACACTGAGATGCATTTCATAAGGTTCCTTACACAATCCGGGGCTCTACACTCTTCCTTTTTTTTAAATTGGGATGTAAATTCCCAAAACACTGAGGAATTTTTAAAGTTTTCTTGCCTATTAGGCATCTTTGCCCTTTTCTCTATTTTACCTTGTTATGTTCAAGTCATTCTCCATCCTCCACACCCCTATATCCTGACATTCTTCCAACTGTCTCCCTTTTGTTCTCCATAGACCTATTGTATCCCTCACGTGTGTTCACCACTGTGTCTGCCAGTTGTAGGCAGAGCTAACTTTGCTCTTTGTAACTCTGGTGGTTGAAGAGCAGCGCTAACAAGGTTTCTGAGAGCTCATCCCATCTTTCTGAGAAGGTTTAATGGTTGAGATAAGTAATTTTGTGAGCAAAAGTGTATAAAATGAGAACTGACAAGACTCACAGGAGTAAGGTTGCCTGGAACCTGATCTACAGACCTCTCAGGAGTCAGTATTTTTTTAGTGACTCGAGTAAATTTAGCTTCAGGGTGATATAACACAGCCCAAAACTGCTACACTTAATTGAATATTTTTAACAGTTGAACTTTACTGAGTCCGTGAAAAACTGTCCAAATTGCGGAAGTAAACCAAATTTAAGTGAGGTGCTTAGGGACTGGTAGTAAGGCTTGCAGATTCACTGTTTTGAATTGAATTCAAATTCCTGTACTTTCAAAAGTCAGTTCAGCAACTGATATAAGTGGAAGACACAGTCCAGTTAGTGCAGGACTGCTGTCTGCCTTGCAAAAGTGACACTAATCAGCAGGCTCAGGAAGGTGGCCAAAAACAAATGGGCTGTGGAAACTTAAAGCTTCGTTTCCCAGATGTGCTAAATCATCAGTAGTTCCAGATGAAGTGAAAAACAAAATGATAATCTCCATAAATAATCTCCAGTCTCTGTTCAAACTGTCCCTGGTTCAGAGATAGGAGTTTTTAACCTTGAGTTCCCCTGTATTTATTTCTTAAAGAAAATATACCATCTGCAGGGAGAAATATGCAGCAAATCCCGAGGTCTTATCACTTGAGACCAGGCGCAGCTATTCCTAAACTAAATGGAACCACACCCTAAACTGTCCATGTTTTTCACCAAAAATAGGCTTGCATGGTAAGTAGAAATAAAGATGAAGTTTCTTCAGAGAAATTTAAAAAAAAAGGCATTTTCCATATGACATTTACATGATATAAAAACACTAGACTTGATTGGTTTGGACTCAACTCATGGAAAAGGAAGATACTGTTACCCAGAGGCACAGAGGGTTTTCCAACCTCAGAGCACTGTGGACAGTTCCTAATTTTTTTTTTGATGCCCTCAGCTCCCACAGAGGAGCAATCAGCAGCCCTACACGTGACATATGCAACTGGATCTAATGGGTCTTTGGAACAACTGCTGAATAAGGAACAAAGGCTGAATATTAAGGATGCACAACTGATCGTGGCCAGTTTTAACCTGGCCAAAACGAGGCACATTTTGTCACTGTTGTCCCAGCTGAGTGCTCCCCGAGCAATGTTAATGCACAGACTAGAACATTTTTCCAAGAAGCTAAAAAGTCAAAGTCCTTTGCAGTAACTTAGGGACATGCTGGGTAAATGGGCTGTGTGCACTGTTTGCTTGCTGCAGCATTCTGATTGTGTTCTGATCTTTAAGCAGAGTTAGGAGGAAGGTCAAAATAAAATTGCCAGTTTAGCAAGTAGAAGAGCACGAGCACATGTTACAGAACCTGTGGGACACAAGAATAGAATAAAGCCATGTCTCTTGCATACAGACCCAAGAAAACCCACATGATAGGTTTAAATGCTTTCTTGAATGATTACCAAAAAGCAGGTCAAAATCTAGGAACTGCACAGGAGCTGGAAGAAAGCGTTTAGTGCTACATAAAATAGCAGGAATAGTGGGAAAGAAAGAGCTAAGATCTGCCTGCCCAAGAACATAAGGAAAGAACTAGGTGGATTAATGTTTCCTTTTCTGACCCTGCATTGCTCCCAGTGCACTAGTCAACCTCCATACTCCTTCTCCAGCATTCATGGCAAAAGCCCTGGCTAGAGATGGTATGAATTGAAAAGCTATTTTACAGACTACAGAGTCTTTGGGGCTATTTGGAATGGACTCTATTATTCATAAAGGATAGAATTCTAAGGCAAAAGTGATTATTATGCTTTCTTCTCATCTGCCTTCCTTACAGTATAGGTCAACATTGTTTTGCACATGGGGAGACAGGGAGATGTAAGAAAAACTTGTTGTCAAAAATAACTGGAGCAGAAGAAGCTGCAGGACTACAGATACCCAATGCCACTTCTGCCTAATAGACTTTAATTTTCTGCACACAGAGCAGCTTCCATGCAGAAGTCTCCCAACCACAAAGACAAGGCCTCTGCACAGATTCACAGTGCCAGATCTTTGTATAAGCTGGTGATGGTGGTAAATCAGCACACCGACCAGGAATTACAGCATTTTGAGAAACACTGTAGGATTAAAGAATCAGTGTCATGGGCAAGGAACACTTGTACTATTACAGATGAAACCCAGCTTCCATCAGAGAGATGCTGGTGACATGATCGAGGTGAATCAGTCAGTAACAGAGCCCAGTGATCCTGCTGCCTGACCTACACTTTCAGTTATTAACACTCCTGCCATCACTCCCACCCCCAACTTCATTCTTAGCTTTGTTTCTGGGAGTACCTAAAGCTTCCTTTCCAGGAACAGAAAAGATTGAACTTCAACCACAAACACGTGGGAGAAATGCAGGCAAGAGGAACTGTACATACTGCCTGCTTTGTGTCTGGGCATGATAACTCCTAAGCTAATACTTGTTAGGCAAACCCAGGCAGGGTGGGCAGAAGGTTATCAGAACTGCTGTGTGGTTCACAGGTCCTATGACACCGGCCTTACAAAACAAGGTAGCACCGAAAACAGGACAGATGCACTTGAGGAGAGTACAGGAAGCTGCAATTGCAAATTCCTTGAGCCAGAGGGGCCGTTGCACCACTGGACACAGCGCTCTGGAAGCTTGAAGAAAAGTTACCTTCTTCAAGCAGTTGCTAAGTTATGTCCCTTCTCTTAGTCTTTGAGGTCCTGCCTGGACATGAAGTACATTGCAGGAGGCACAATGAGATCCCTCAGAGCTGTTATTCCATTGGGCTGTCTCTGGCCTGTAGATAAAAGGATTCCCATATTCAAAGCACTGTCTAGCACTTTCAGCACTACTCAGATTTTGAGGCATGTCAGAGTGTCCTGACATGCTACAATTTGTACAGCCTCTCACACACAGCTTTGGTCTGTCAGCCCCAGAGAGCTGCTGGGCTGTCAGCCCCAGGGTGGAAACAAAGGGCAGCTGTTGATCCCTGCACTTTGTGTAGCCACTTGCTCTCACAACAGGCAAATCACTCTTGCCAGCTGTGGGACTGGATAACATTTTAAGATATTTCAGAAAAGATGAAGTATGGTACACAGCAGGACAGTAAATGAATGCAGATAACTTTTTTATAAGCTAGTACCAATTTTTAAAAAGTGATAAATGCTTATCAATTTGTTACAAACTGATTTTAACTCAAATCTTTCAAAATGTAATGGAGGCATTTCTTATTTGACACACAGATGTATGCAAATGGGACTGACATGTGCCAGAATATGTGGGGGGAGTCATTTAAGGTGAGCAAATCCTCCTGCCTCTGCTTGCAAATGAACAAGAAGGACACGATTGCAATCAAGTATCTCCTCTCCAAGAGCTCAGAGGAAAGCTCCAGCAGCAGCAGCAGCAGCAGCAGCAGTGAAGAACACGCCTGCCAAAATAAACTCCTGAAGTTTCAGAAACCAGAGGAAGAGGAAGGTGAACAGACAAGATAAATGCTAGTGGATGTATGTCAGGACAAGAGAAATCATCACGGAGGGCTGGGCTCAGGGCATCATGCCAGCCTGCTTTATTCCTTGCTTCCTAGAACATAATAAATCAATGGCTGGTTGTATTAATCTTTCTCTGATGTTTTTGCATCTGCATCACAAAGCTCCAGACAGGTTAGCACAAGTGTAATCCTGTGACTTGAACTGAACAGCTACAAGCCTGAAGGTAACATCTAGGGGTTGACTTTCAAAGAGAAGAGGCACAGGCAGCCCCTGCTGACTTAAGGTGGAACAGTGGGAACTAGAGACCTGTGGAAGGTCATGCCTGCCAGTAATGCACCAAATCTTCAACCCAAACCCTTTGTTAGCGCAGGCATGCAGCACTCCTGCCACGAGTTCCTCTGTGCGGGGCTCTGCTCAGGCAAAGAAGAAATCTGCAGGCAGAAGTAGGTCAGTGAGCCCGGCTACTGACCACTGAAAATGTATTTATTTTCTATCAAAAACATTCTCACAAAACAGGGGATTGTGGTGTACCAGATAAATCCTTGGATCCAAATATTGTCAGTATAGAGCATCCACCATCTGTTGCACAGGGCTTTTACCTTAAACAACAGCAGTACAAAAGTCTCCAATAACACCAATTTGAAGCATAATTTTGAGTGCAATTAATCACACTGAATGATTCCAAACAGAATGACCTCTGACAAACCAAAGTGCCAGGGAAGGCCCCAGTCAGATTTCTCCCATCAATAATTCTGCTTCCCAGCATCACTGTTACAGTTAAATTAAAACTAAAATCTGCACCAGTCCCACAGGGACTCGTCAGGTAAGGGTGAACAAAATCCTGCTTTCAGTTGTGCATCCATACTTCTACTGCTGTAGAGTGGACAGGTCTGTGCCATTCTGTACAGCCTTTCATAGTGTCATCACCAGGGAAACTGTGAAAAGAGTTGAATTTGGGGGTCAGATGATCAAATTGTGAAAATCAGCATCATTTCAGTGCTTTCAAGGCGGCTCAGTGCCTGACAGCCTTTAAAGATCTGGCCCACAGTTAAAACAATGACTTGGCACATCCTGTTAAACTGAGAGAATCTTAAAAATCCATCACACTTTCTTCACTGAGCTGGTTATTTATTGGAATGGTTTCACACAGCTGCAATAGTAATGCTAAACCCGTTAGGTCATGCTCTGCTTCCAACCAGCTTCTCAGTACATTTAACAATTAGACTAATTCCTACCAGCACTGAATTGTTCTTAAAATGATACTTTGCCACATCTGCATTTCGTGCTAACTCAAATTGTCAGTTCTACTGTTTGAAAAGAAAGAACAAGAATTTGGTCTTCAGTAAAGCTCTCACAGTCTTTTTTCCCCCATTTCACTAATTCTGTTCTTTCCTGTCCTTTATTGCACCTGGATCAGAGCAGAAATTTTCCTGCTTTTTATTTTGACGTGGTCAAAATTCAAGAATTAATTATCCCCTCTCACTGCCATAACACCAACTTTTTCTGTATCACCATGGCCAAAGATTTCCTTCTTGGCTTTTTTTTAAATACAGCACAATTGTTTCACAGAATCACAGAATATGCTGAATTGAAAGGGACCCACAGGGACCATCGAGTCCAGCTCTGGCCCTGCACAGGACCACCCCCAAGAGTCACACCATGTGCCTGAGAGTATCATCCAAACCTTTCTGCCTATGTCTCTGCACTTTTTATTCCATTCCACTTTATTCTCTTTGCTCTGGCTAAACTACTCTTGAAATCACTCTCAATAACCAGCTCCTCCATGCTTAGTCTCAGGATGACCCATGACACTGGTTATTGCGTGCTCTTGGAGAGCACCAGGTCCTACAGCAAGAAAAAGGACCAAGAAAGACCATTTAGCTCCTATTCATAATTTTCCCACTGACTCGTGATGTACCCTAAGCAAACCATCTAACTCTTTTGTGATCCCAACAATCTTGCAGAACTACCATATTTCTCCTAGGTCATCTCTTTTCTAGGACAAAAAGTCAAGAACTCCTCTGTTGTCCCTAGCATAGAAATTGCCCCATACCTTTGGTCTTTCTTTCATTGATCCATGCATTTTCTTCCAGAAAGACTTTCAACCTTGATTTAAAACTTCAGATAATGGGGGGTTTAATTTAAAACTCAAAATAATTGTCCAATGCACCTGATAATTTGTTTCCTCAGTGTTAGAGATAATTCCCAGTTTAACATTTGTTGTTTCAGCTTTCAGCCACTGCTTTCTGCAAAAGTCTTTTTTATTAAAGAGTTCTTCATGTTTCAGGATTGCTTTTCTGCTCAGCAGCACATACCCTGGATCAAACTGCTTCATAGCAATTAGGTCTGTCTTAGCTCTCTTCAGTTTACATGTGTTATTATAAGACATTCCCTCTCTCTTTAAATCATACTTATGGTTCTTCTCTGCACCTTCTCCAGCCCTAAATATCCTCCCTAAATCATACAAATCAAAGCCATACTCCATGGCAGTGCTAAGGGTGACCTACAGAGAGAGACCTTGTCCCTGCCTCTCCCCACGCTTCTCCCTAACTGCACTGCCCGTGTCTACAAGAGCATAGTTTTGATTATTTTTATGCCTCCAGTGTCCATGTCTTATAATTCTTGGTGTTACAGTCAGTTTTCCACTGTAGAGCTCCCTGGTCCCACAGGTGTGAACTCTTAAGCAATAAGCTCCTATAGTTCTTGCTTTGCACTTGGTTGTATTACAAAACCTTCACCTGAATACACCAACCTTCTTAAGCCACTGTTTGCTCTGTCTAGTTGCTTCAAACTCGCAGTAATTTATGTCTTAAACAACCTTTGTGACACTCAGAAATGGGATCAGTGGGGATTTTACATTTGCAGAAAGGCTAGGATAACTCAGGTAAAGCAAAATGAAAAATAACAGGAATCGCTAAAATATAGACTAGAACAATACACTGTGCAGGTAACCAGGGAAAAGAAGGATCCAAGTTACTGGTGGCTGCAGACATCCCCACCTAACGCTGCTTGGATTAGCTAAGTTCTTGCTATGCCTCACAGCTCAAAAGCATGTCCTGCCTCTGGACCCACACTGGCCCAGACCACTGAAATGTTTCTGTATTTAGTGACTTGACCGAGAGCTTTATTAAAATGTCACAAGAGTAAATCAAATGCTTTGTGAAATAGGTTGTGAAATATGTTCCTACAGCAATCTGAGGAAACAGACTTACAACCTTTATCAATAAATTACATTGGACTTACCAACAAGACAGTGTTGAGAAAACAAAAGTAATTGCCAATTATTGACTTATTTACGACCTGGCTGAGAATCAGCTTGTGTACTGTGCTACTTGGGCCTGGTGTCACGTTAACCATAACACAGCTAGCTGGGTCATCATGATTGCTCTGTTTATTTAATTTTCTTTCCTTAAACATTGGCAGAATACTGTGAGTCTTCTGAAATTTCACTGACGTGCCAGGAGTTCTTACAAATGAGATCTCTCTTGACAGTTCTGTTAGAGATCTTTACTATGTTACCTGAGCACGCTGCTTTAAAATTATGAATGTTACTCATAATGAGGAACCTCATCTTTAATTACTTGCAGACTGAAAAGGATTTCATCATCCTTCTGTAATACTAATACTTCATCCTGTATATATTTCAATACCAAGCATTATTAAAAACCTTGCCCACTGTACCTTGTGCCATTGCAAGGCTTTCTTCCTCAGGCCACAATTTCCTGTAGTACCTTTGGAGTCCTCACTCTATTTTTATAGTTCATGATTTTCCATGGATATCGACTGCCTTGTAGTCTTCCTTTTTAAAAAATAATAAGCATCAGTAATTATGACATCTTCAGCTTCTGTTGCATTTTTCATGTGCAACATAAATATTCATTAATCTTCAAAATATACCTGAAAGGAAAATAAGTAGTGAGAAGCAAACCGAGTCAGTGGGAGAGAGTCAGAAAGAGACTTATCTGATCATTGCAAGTATTGCAGAACTCAGACTAGCACAGACAAGTTCTCTTTCAGAGCCTTTTTTCACACTGCAAATGGAGCTGCGCTTTGTAAGACGATCCTTGGACAAAAGGTATTACAAGAAATTATTAGGCAAAAGTTATTATGCAAAAATTAGAGAATCACAGAATTTTTTAGGTTTGAAAACACCTTAAAGATCATCGAGTCCAACCATTAACCCAGCACTGCCAATCCCCCACTAAACCCTGTCCCCAAGTGCCACATCTGCATGTTTTTTAAATACCTCTGGGGAAGGTGATTCCACCACTTCCCTGGACAGCCTGTTCCAGTGCCTGACCACCCTTTCCATGAAGAAATATTTCCTAACATCCAATCTAAACCTCCCCTGGTGCAACCTGAGGCCATTTCCTCTGGTCCTATTGCTTGTTTCTTGGGAGAAGAGACCAACCCCCACCTTGCTACAATCTCCTTTCAAGTAGCTGTAGAGAGCGATAAGGTCCCTCCTAAACCGCCTCTTCTCCAGGCTAAACACCCCCAGTTCCCTCAGCTGCTACTCATAAGACTTGTGCTCCAGACCCTTCACCAGCTTAGTTGCCCTTCTCTGGACACACTCCAGCCTTTTATGAAATAAAATAGCGCAAGAAGCCTGAGCATCCAAAAATCAAAACGAGTTATTCAACAATGGGTTTCCATGTACCTTGAAGGACAATGGAATTATACAAATAATAATTTTTGCATTGTTTAAGACAAATAACATCAAACAGGCTAATTTCCCTTGCTGAGAGACGACCTGCCTGCAGAGAAAAGAAAGCTGTAAATCAGATATGACTTTTTAAGGTTTTTGATAACATTTAATGTAACATTCTGATAAGCAATCAGAGAAAACCAAAGTGCAAACAAAGTCACTATAACACAGGCGCACAATTTGTTAAAAATATATTAAAAGATTACTATGACCATGTTGTCATTAAACACAGACGGATCTTCTGTTTGGAATCCCAGAGGGTCTCTTCTGATTCTAGTCAACACTTATGTTTAGTCAGGCAATGAAGTAGAGAATTTGCAAGCACTTTGAAGAACAAGATTAGAATAAAAACAGTCTTTCTAACCAAAGAACTAGACCAAGCCTCCAAAGGTGAAATTCTGAAAAGGGAGGTGAAAAA